GCTGGTTTTCAGTTAGATGCAGATCAAGTTAATTGTAAAGGTTTGTCAAGTTAAATAATTTAGTAACTGTTGTTTCATGAATAATAGTTAAACCTGTCTTAGAGGGTTGTATTTTATTGTATGTTTATGTACACCAAAACAAGAAAATACTTTTTTATTTTATATAATATGTGTCATATTCAATATAATATTGCTAAATGGTGTTACTTCTCTTGAAATACAATGTATGTGCCTGTGTTACTTTTGTATGTCATTTATTACTAGAATGTCCACAAGGAACATATGGTACTGATTGTTCATCCACATGCGACTGCTATGATGCTACTACAGCATCTTGTTCTAACGTTAATGGTACATGTAGCTGTGTTGATGGTTGGCAAGGAACTCAATGTGAAGAAGATAAAGACGAATGTGCCGATACACCAGTCCCTGATTGTGGTTCACAGTCATCGTGTCTTAATACAAATGGATCCTACATCTGTAAATGTAATGTTGGTTATTTTAAATCAAATGGTGATTGTGTTGGTAAGTCATGTAGTATTATCTATGTTATTCTATAATCTTATTATCCCAGTATATACACTATATACTTAGACGCAATCTAAATGCACCCCAGATTTGACAGGAAGTGTTATCAAGCCATAATGCAGCTGAAATAAGATTTTTAGCATAATTGTAGTCTGGACATTTATCGACACAAGAAATCAACAACAGCCCACAAATGCAAATGAAATGTTGGCCCAAAGGAAAAAGTCAGTAACGTGATTGGTACAACGTGAAGCTGTGTGACACCGCCCAGGGGGTCAACCTAGCTGAAAAGTGTACCAATTTTCACCTATATGGTATCAATGCATGTATATCATCAGAATGTAAGTCTGCCGGGTATCTGGTGGTGGGTGTGGTTAGCTCAAAAGTGTACCATGTGAAAATGTGGTACAGACTTTTACTAATCTAGATTAGTTGCGGGGCATGGTATGTCAAGGGTACCCTATCGCACAAACTGTCTGGCAGTGGTAATTCATGCATGCGTTGATACGATATAGGTGAGAATTGGTACCTGTTTCAGCTAGGCTTATCTCCCTGGGATCACTGCGTAGTTGGTGATGAACAATGACATTACTGGTGAACCAATGACCGGATTAAGATTTTTAGAGACCCTAATCACTTAAAAGGTTATGGTACCCCCATATATATGTAACTCAAAATAAAAACAATACCAAACCGTAATTTTTGTTTTGATCAATAATTATATTTTATTCATATTCCTATTTTTGTCATTTATTGTGGACCGTCTTTTAGTGGGATCTGTTTCAGCCGTAACATTTACACCGTGGTCAATTTTAAATCTAGCACTGGAAAAACAACACCTTGTTGCACTTTTCCCTTTAAGTTCTAATCAAGTACTTATTTTTATTAATGGTTAATCTAGCGCTGGGTGACCCCCCCCCACACACACACACACATACCCACGGGTGTACCTATCTGAGGAAGGGTCCTTGTTGGGAGACCCCCATATGAGGAATTTGACTAAGGAGGACAGCCTCATGTAGGCAAGCCTTTCAAATGGCCTTATGAGGTTTTTAAAAATTTCCAGTTTGCACACATTTTGTGCAGCTCATCTATCCATTAAGAGGAAAAAATGGGTTGTCTCCCCTTTGACCACAGTTGAAGAGCTGACTTTCAAAAGGCAAGCCTTTAAACAGCCTTATGAGGTTTTTATACGCCCACATTTTCATGTGGACGTATTATGCCGTCGCCCATGTCCGTCCGGACGTCCGCCCACAAATTGTTTGTGGACACTCTAGAGGTCACAATTCTTATCCGATTTTGACGAAACTTGAAATATACGTCACCATTAGGAGATATTGTCAGAAAATATGGTCTCAGCTTTCATTTGTATGCCGATGATACTCAATTATATATTTCATTTACACCTAATTGTCCATCTTCTTTCAATTTATCAAAATTGCAACTTGTGAACTGTATTAGTGAAATTAGAAAATAGATGTCAAAGAACTTTCTAAAATTGAATGATGATAAAACCGAATATTTGTTATTAGGCCATCAAGGCATCAATTAAGTAAATCTGCACAAGATAACCCCACTGTTGTAATTGGTAATTGTGATATATTTTCATCATATTCTGCTCGTAATATTGGCGCTATCTTTGATAGTTTTATGGTTATGGGAGCTCAAGTAAATAATATTTGTAAATTGTGCTATTTTAATATTAGAAATATAGGTAAAATACGTAAATGTGCAACTGTAGAGGCCACTAAGTCACTTGTTAATTCTCTGGTCACTTCTCGATTAGATAACTTTAATTCACTTTTAGTTGGTTTACCTTTAAAGCTTATAGATAAATTACAAAAAGTACAGAATACTGCGGCTAGACTTGTTACTTTAACTAAGAAATGTGACCACACAACTCCTGTTTTATATAATTTACACTGGTTACCTGTTAAATATCGAATTGATTTTAAGATTTTATTACTTACTTTTAAATGTTTAAATAATTTAGCTCCTGTTTACCTCTCAGATCTTTTAGAACTTTATACACCTGGCCGAACATTAGGTACATCAGAAAAACTACTTTTAAAGCCCAAAACTGTTCAACTAGTCTCTTATGGTCAGCGTTCTTTTAGTTATCAAGCACCTGTTTTATGGAATAATCTACCATTTAGTTTAAGATGTTTTACATCTCTATATTCTTTTAAAAAACAACTTAAAACACATTTATTTAATCAGGCTTTTAACTGACTCTGTATATAATTGTTAACATGCCCATAATCTTGTTGTTTATGTGTGATTTACATTGTCACTTTGTAAAGTGCCCTTGAACATGTTATATGAAAGGGTGCACTATAAATATGCTGTAATAATAATAATAATAATAATATAGGTTTATCTCCAAAAGATCTCGGCTGCTTTCGATATTGGCATGTTTGTACGAAAAATCACGGTTTTAGCATATGGACCCTATAGAGGTCACAATTTTTATCCGATTTTGTTGAAACTTGAAATGTAGGTTTATAACCTAAAGATCTCGGTTCCTTTCGATATTCGCGCATATCGTGAAAATCGGATCAAAATTGACGGACAAAATGGCCCCCGATCGTTCTCAAATAGCGTAAAAATATGGTATATCAAGGTTGTGGACACTATAGAGGTCACAATTTTTATCCGATTTTGTTGAAACTTGAAATGTAAGTTTATAACCCTCAGATCTTGGTTCCTGTCGATATTCGAGCATATCGGACCGTAACTTCCTGAATTATGGCCCCTGATTGTAAGAAAAATCTCGTTTTTAGCTTGTGGAACCTATAGAGGTCATAATTTTGATCCGATTTAAAAAAAACGTATTATTATATCACTGTTACACCCTAATGACGACTGAGTTCGAATTTCGTGAAAATCGGATCAAAATTGACAGACAAAATGGCCGCCGTTCGATCTCAAATGGCGTAACAATATGGTATATCAAGGTTGTGGACCCTATAGAGGTCACAATTTTTATCCGATTTTGTTGAAACTTGAAATGTAGGTTTATAACCTAAAGATCTCGGTTCCTTTCGATATTCGCGCATATCGTGAAAATCGGATCAAAATTGACGGACAAAATGGCCCCGATCGTTCTCAAATAGCGTAAAAATATGGTATATCAAGGTTGTGGACCCTATAGAGGTCACAATTTTTATCCGATTTTGTTGAAACTTGAAATGTAAGTTTATAACCCAAAGATCTCGGTTCATTTCGATATTCGAATTTCGTCAAAATGGCCGCCCCTCATTTTCAAATAGCGAAAAAATATGTTATATCAAGGTTGTGGACCCTATAGAGGTCACAATTTTTATCCGATTTTGTTGAAACTTGAAATGTAAGTTTATAACCCAAAGATCTTGGTTCCTATCGATATTTGCGCATATTGAATTGTAATTTCCTCAATTATGGCCCTTGATTGTAGGAAGAATCACTTTCTTTTTAGCTTGTTCTCTATCCATCTCTCGAAAATGTGGGCGTATCCTGCCTGGCAGCCGCTGGTTGAAAATGTTGCACATATTTTGTGCAGCTCATCTAGGTTGTCACTCCTGTGACCTCAATTGAAGAGCTGACTTTCAAAATGGGTCTAAGTGCAAAACTGGAAGTTATAAGGATAATCCCCCAAAACACCATTCGGCTCACATCCATGTGCTTTGCCTTTCAGACTGCCATTCGGTCAATGGCTGCATTTCATACCCAATTATTCCATCTTTTACCAGATCCATATTTTAATGAACAACCCGCCGCCCCCGCCCCCCACAATATCCACTTAATACAGATCATTCCTTTATACCAGCTTCTCTAGATATCTTGCTGGTAATCATTTGTGTCCATTCAAAGAATCTTGCCTGGGCCTGGGAAATGATATATCTACATGTAATTATCAGAATTAAATTCTTCATGGACGGACAGGGGCGACGACAATATACGTCCACATGAAAATGTGGGCGTATAAAAATGGGTAGTGATAAACCTGGGGGAAAAAAAGTATGTAGAAAACAGTAAATTTTGATGGAATAAGCGTCCAAACTTACGGGAAATCGAGACTATTTTCAGCAAGTTTATACTTGACTTGTCATGAATCACTGCCATGCATTAGTTAAAGTGTGTTCTTAACCATTTCAATGCTTGCCAGTGATGTACAGACATGAAAACCTATCTTTTAACATTATGTAATTACAATAAATATTTTACCAAATAAAGCGACATCTTTCCCTGGCCCGGTTTAGAATGGAGACATATAAGGTAATAGAGCATAAGATAGGAGAATTTGGTCTAGATATGATTTTGATATTTTAGCATAGGAAATTTACAAAAGGTTTTTCTCTCTTATTTTAAGACATCAAGAAAAATATTTTGCATATTAGTTTTAAAAGCCTAATCTCTTTAATGAGCCAAATTCGTTTTTTGATATGATCTATTACCTTTGGGAATAAGAGCAAAAGAATTAAAAAAAAATATTTTTAGTTTTTGTCTTTATTTGGTCTTATTTTCTGTACATCTGCAAATTATTTTTAGTTTTTGTCTTTATTTCGTCTTATTTTCTGTACATCTGCATTTATTTTATTTTTAATTTTGTCATAGGTCATTTTCTTTAAAATTGGGTTCTTGTTTTTGAGGGATACTATTTCTTCTTTTTTCAGCATTTTTCCTCGTAATTGGACAAGTTTAAAAAACACTTCATTATAGGCCCCTCTCTTTTCTTTGTTCCAAACATCTGAAATCAAAAAAATGAACAAATACTGACACAACAGTTCCTTATCAAGTATTATCAAAAGGAAATATCCATATTTCTTCAAATTTCTCCATAGGAAAACATGGGGATAAAAAAAGTATATATATTGTAGACTTTTAAGTTTGAGTGTTGTTCAGCCAAACTAGAAATTGGTCGTGTGGTTGCAAACAAAATATTAAAAGAAAAAAAATGATGTTTTGAATCATATCTAGAAAGCCCTGAACCAACAATGTAAAAATAATCCTCACAAATTCATAAGAAGACGGGGTAATCTGTGATTTTTTGTTACATTACATTGATTTAAAGGCAAATTCTCTAAAGTAAATAGTGCATAGTCATCTCCAAATCCATAGTCCAGAACCCTAAAGAGGATATCTTCGTTAATGATTGCACACAGTATCACCAGACGAGTAACCATTGTTTTTAGTTATGATGAAGGAATGGAATGATTTTACAATATAGAGGAAATCATCCTAAGAGAATAAGACTACTTACTACTATCTGTAGTCTCCAACCTATTTGTCTGTTTATCGTTACTGCATGTAGGTCCTCCTGGAATGAACAGGCAATAAGCATTCAATTCAACTTGTTTAAAGATGGGGGATCCCTTTAATACTCTCTGAATCAATATTCTAAATGTCTTAAGATGATCTTTGACCTTTAATTTTCCTGCAGTTTATTATTTGAACTTAACCAATCATATTTAATCACTTACATAACAACCAATTGATATAATGCTAAGAGAAAGTCTACTGTTTGACCCAATTTGACATTTTCTCTCATTTAAAGCTCAAAATTAGGATTTTCAAAATATACTTTGATTTAAAGACACAAAATAAAACACAGTATTATTTTAATTCTGTTATGTTCTCACCTACTTCTGGACTACTACTACTCTTTCTTTTCTCAAGTGGCTGTGATCCAATCTCATCATCTACAATAAATTTGGTACCATAAATTGAATTAAAGTCCCTGTCCAGTCATTACTGATGTTGTGCTGACATTGTGTAAAATTAATATCTTCTACATATGAGAACTTCATGGGATTCTAACTAAAGCAGATATTCTCACAAACCAGCAGTCTTGCAGAAGGACAACTGATGAAATACGTCTATTTTGGGGAATTATTTTAAGTTCAAGATCAACTTCCTGTGAAGTCAAAGATATGTCTGTAGGTAGGACTGTATGCACTTTACACAATAAAGAGCTTTCTTCTGGTTTTAAGGGATAAGGGTTTAGCATAGGCAGCTTGCTTGTTCCCCAATTCCCTTATCAATTTGTTGATAAGATAATAAAAAAGTGTTGAGGAGGGGGGGGGGGGGAGAGAGAGAGCCCTTATAGAAAGAAGTGAACCCTAAAGAGGATATCCTCGTTAATGAATGCACACAGTATCACCAGACGAGTAACCATTGTTTTTAGTTATGGTGAAGGAATGGAATGATTTTACCATAAAGAGGAAATCATCGTAAGAGAATAAAACTACTTACTATTATCTGAAATCTGCAACATATTTCTCTGTGTATCGTTACTACATGTGGGTCCTGGAATGAAAAGACAATAAACATTTCATACTGTAAGTTCTAAGGCAAAATAACAACAGTCAAACATAAACATTATGATTTATATGACAAATTTGTGGACCATGTCAAATGGTCTCAGGATTTTAGACAAACTGGACAATGCTTACATGAGAATATCCAACAAGGGGTCCGTAGCAGATTCAATTGACCCACGTCAACTCCAATCGACAAAATGTTAAAGACCCATGCTGTCATTGTTATGACATGGGTGTTTGGATGTCAAACTGTCTGGGTCAGTCAAGAGATAAAATCTTTTAAAATTTCATTTGAATCAAAGTTCGCGACACAGATATTAATATCTAAATTCTGTTCTCACCTTCAATAATTTCATTCTTTTGTTTCTTTCTCTTAACTACTTCTAGACTACTACTCTTTCTTTTCTCAAGTGGCTGTAATCTATCATTAATATTAATCTCATCATCAACAATATCTTGTTCTTCATCATCTTTCACAAGAAAGTCTGAAAAAGAATAGAAATATTAAATCATAATTTCAAGATGTAATCCACCATTTATACAACAAAATCTATACAAACATTACACCATGGACTTGGTTTAATTGTCAAACAGGAGCTGGGTTACATGGCTCGACCCAGTAATTATCAGTGAAATGAAATGGGGTTTAACGTCCTACTTTTCTGCACCGACTGGGCTAATGAAGATGGGCATATGTCATGCTATGAGTGAAATTTTGCCAGGACAGCAGCGCTACGGCCTACTTTTATATCGAATTCCAACTGTCAGGGGTTCTTTTACGTGCACAGCATGGGTCTTTAACATTTTGTTAATTGGAGTTAACGTCGGTCAATTGAATCTGCTTGGACCCCTTGTTGCCAGGCCCTCCCTCCTGAACCACTGACAAGGGGAAACCATGCCGGAAAATCCCAAGGAACTTTCTCGGCCAACACCAGGAGTGAACCTGAGAACTCCTGGTTAGTGAACCAGGGTCTTACTCACTGAGCCACCTCGGCTCATGTAATTATCAGTATTAAGGGTTGTTTGATCTAGATTAACAAGGTACTACAGACTAAAACTCACCACCAGCAGAGCTTTCAAAATCTATTTCGTCAATCGTCTTCCCATAATAATTGGTTATTGAACCACTATCTGCCAGCAATAATAATTTTGCTACTTTCGTTTTTTCAATAGTGGAAGACATAACTCGGTAAAAATCTTTATGTACGTTGATGTTGTGTCCTAAATGATTAGTAATCCATCCAAGTTGATTCTCAGAAATATTAAGCACCTGCAAATATTCAATAAAAATAAAAACTTCTTAAGTGTTATCATTATGACATTTTATCAAACTGGATCAAAGGCTATAAGGGGAATTTTACCGAAATAGAAATATTCTGTATTTGAATGGAAGGAGCTCACTTTTAAGTCCAAACCATGTGCCCAAGAACACCGGAGATCAGCCCCTTCTATTAAATGTCATATGATACACAAAAAATCTCAGTTACTTAGTGACACCCTCTTATTTTTGTCCTGTGCGCGCTCCATTTGTGTATTTCAGGGAATCCAGTATTTTTCTTGTAAAATTGGGTGTCTCTACTTTCGATATACCAAAATTGCCATACTTTTATTGGAAATAACCACCCGATAAATGCTTTTGTGGGAATGCATCTTTAAATTTCATATGATACACATATGATTCCAGGTCTGACTTACCTGTGTTGTTGTAGCAATGTATTTCCTTAGTAGTGTTGATTTGATAAAACTAGCATTTTCTAGCTTTAATTCACTCAAGACATTCTCTAACGCATCATAAGCACGTACAGCTCCTTTACCTAGAAGTAGTTAAAGAGGAGATCACAATGTTCATACATTTACCAGCAGTCAAACTGTTTGATCTGGAACTGTATTGAAATGCTTTCATATTATAGGGATAGTGAGTATGTATTATCAAAGATTTATCTAACTGGAAACACTAGCACTTGGAAAATAACAGATGAACCATTTTAATATGCAAATTAGCCTCTCATAAGGAATGGTTGACACAAGAAGGAAAAATATTAATTGACAGAAAGGAACCCAATGTACCAAGACATGTATAAATCAAGATATTCAGAAGTACTAACCAAAATTAGCAAACAGAAATGAACTGTTGGCAACATCTGCTAGCTCTCTAACATCTTCATTGGCAATCATATCCATAACATTGCGACATTCTGGTGGTACTAGTACAGGTACCTTTCGCCCTCTCTTTCCCCTAATATTAACGACTTCATACGTCTTGCAAAGTTCTAGCTCAAAAGAAGTCAGATCTTTTTTAAAATCATCCAGGGCAGCATCTACTCTTCTTCCAGTATATGACTCCACACTAGAAAGACAAAACAATCATTTGATTCTCAATTAGTAAATAATTTCTGATAATTTTGTTAATCAAAATATCAAAATGTAAGTACACATTACAAAATACAGATGGTACATTCATAAGACATCAGAATATCTAAAATAATCATCCCAGATTAATCAAGATGAAATTGTGCCCACCAAGCTGCTTTTCCACAACATAGTGCATTTGGAAGTTACTAGAAGGATGATTGCAAAACCTACACATACCTCATAGCTTCCAACTCCCCTGGACGTCTCTTGTTAAACGTCAGTAACCGTGCTTCAACCAACTCAACTGCACGTCGAAAAGTTGTTTTATCACCAATTTCTTCTATCGTAGACAACTCCTTTTTTAGATGGTCTGACAATAAATTTAAATCATGTCCTGAAGGTAATTCAATTATTTTATTGAACCTGCGTTCATTCAGTGTTGAGGATGCCATTGAACTTATTCGTTGATTCCAGTTTTTCTTAAGTAATTTATTAAAATTCTTGGCGTCTAGGACATGCTCTTCATGTTTAGAAATAATTCCTTTTGTTTCTTTTATATTGGCCATTCTTTGGAGGTCATGCCCAATCTTTAAAGCTGTGGAGGGTTTATTTAAATTGTATTCTTCACCCCCTGCAACATTAATAGTGGCCTTGATGACAGTTTCAAATGAAGATGGAGATATAAAGTCAATCATTGTCTTCTTATTTTCATCCAGTTTTCTACACTCCATTAAAAGACGAGCTGCAGCTCTCATTCTTGTGCTGGTGTAATTTGCCCGCCTCAGTTTGTTTTTGCAAGATTTTCGCAACCACACATCACCCAATTCCATAATTAGAGGATCACTTGTAGCAACTTTGGAGCAATCATCAACTACCATAGTTTGTAATACTTCTTTTGTCAGGGTGGTGGATGCTCTTTCATACAGTCCCATAAGTAGATTACTTTTTACAGTCAAGCTACTCTTACTTTCGATATCTTTACCCTTAGCTACACAGCGATATCGATGCTTCGACTGGTCACTTATCCATCCATAACAATTTGGACAAGGCCCAAATCTAGACAAATAAAATACTCCTTTTCCTGGTGGTCTTCTTAAAGGTATGATCTCACCCTCACCTGAATGCTTGACTTCCATGTTATGTCTATGATTGCCACGATTACGTAAAGTTTCCAGCTGTTTTTGGCGAACAGAATTTTTTTTCTTACGCACTTGAGAACTGTCAGTTTTCTTTGGCTTTAACTCAAGAAGATCGGCTATCTCTTTTTCATCACCATGTTTTCTCTCCATATGATCGACTGGTTTACAAACAAGAATTCCACAATATAAACAGCTATGCTTGTTACTAAAAACGCGGTCACTTTTTTTAATTTGTCCATTTTTACCCACTTTTGTTCTTTGGATCCCTCTGAAGTAAACCAAGGGCATATCTTTAAAGAATATCTTGTCATTTTGATCATTTTTTACAGTTTTAAAAGCACCTATGTCAATTATTGGGACAACATCACTAGAATCAGACTCTGAATTGGAATTCAAAACAAAATCACTGTCCCGTGAATCATCAAACATTTCGTCCGATATAAAAGAGTCCTTATCATCATCTAGGATTTCAGATTGCAGTGAAGAGGACTGCCTGTTTTGTGAAGATGGAGAAATTGGTTTGATCTCTCTCTGTTTAGCTTGTGATGGTGGTAGTGGATCATCATCAATCATCCAGGTATGTGAAGTTGGAGGAATGGGCTTGATCGCTCTCCGTTTAGCTTGTGAGTGTGGTAGTGGATCATCCTCTTGATCATCATCAATCATCCAGGTTTGTGAAGATGAGGGAATTGCCTTGATCTCTCTCCGTTTAGCTTGTGTGGGTGGTAGTGGATCATAATCATCAATCATCCAGGTTTGTGAAGATGGAGGAATGACCTTGATCCCTCTCCGTTTAGCTGGTGTGGGTGGTAGTGGATCATCTTTTTCATCATGATCAATCACACTAGTTTGTGAAGATGGAGGAATGGGCTTGATCGCTCTCCGTTTAGCTTGTGTGGGTGGTAGTGGATCATCTTTTTCATCATGATCAATCACACTAGTTTGTGAAGATGGAGGAATGGGCTTGATCGCTCTCCGTTTAGCTTGTGTGGGTGGTAGTGGATCATCTTCTTCATCATGATCAATCACACTAGTTTGTGAAGATGAGGGAATTGCCTTGATCTCTCTCCGTTTAGCTGGTGTGGGTGGTAGTGGATCATCTTTTTCATCATGATCAATCACACTAGTTTGCGAAGATGGAGGAATGGGCTTGATCGCTCTCCGTTTAGCTTGTGAGGGTGGTAGTGGATCATCCTCTTGATCATCATCAATCATCCAGGTTTGTGAAGATGAGGGAATTGCCTTGATCTCTCTCCGTTTAGCTTGTGTGGGTGGTAGTGGATCATAATCATCAATCATCCAGGTTTGTGAAGATGGAGGAATGGCCTTGATCCCTCTCCGTTTAGCTGGTGTGGGTGGTAGTGGATCATCTTTTTCATCATGATCAATCACACTAGTTTGCGAAGATGGAGGAATGGGCTTGATTGCTCTCCGTTTAGCTTGTGAGGGTGGTAGTGGATCATCCTCTTCATCATCATCAATCATCCAGGTTTGTGAAGATGAGGGAATTGCCTTGATCTCTCTCCGTTTAGCTTGTGTGGGTGGTAGTGGATCATAATCATCAATCATCCAGGTTTGTGAAGATGGAGGAATGGCCTTAATCCCTCTCCGTTTAGCTGGTGTGGGTGGTAGTGGATCATCTTTTTCATCATGATCAATCACACTAGTTTGTGAAGATGGAGGAATGGGCTTGATCGCTCTCCGTTTAGCTTGTGTGGGTGGTAGTGGATCATCTTCTTCATCATGATCAATCACACTAGTTTGTGAAGATGAGGGAATTGCCTTGATCTCTCTCCGCTTAGCTGGTGTGGGTGGTAGTGGATCATCTTTTTCATCATGATCAATCACACTAGTTTGTGAAGATGGAGGAATGGGCTTGATCGCTCTCCGTTTAGCTTGTGTGGGTGGTAGTGGATCATCTTCTTCATCATGATCAATCACACTAGTTTGTGAAGATGAGGGAATTGCCTTGATCTCTCTCCGTTTAGCTGGTGTGGGTGGTAGTGGATCATCTTTTTCATCATGATCAATCACACTAGTTTGTGAAGATGGAGGAATGGGCTTGATCGCTCTCCGTTTAGCTTGTGTGGGTGGTAGTGGATCATCTTCTTCATCATGATCAATCACACTAGTTTGTGAAGATGAGGGAATTGCCTTGATCTCTCTCCGTTTAGCTTGTGTGGGTGGTAATGGATCATAATCATCAATCATCCAGGTTTGTGAAGATGGAGAAATTGGTTTGACCTCTGTCGGTTTAGCTTGTGATGGTGGTAGTGGATCATCATCATCAATCATCCAGGTTTGTGAAGATGGCGGAATGGGCTTGATTGCTCTCTGTTTAGCTTGTGAGGGTGGTAGTGGATCATCCTCTTCATCATCATCATCAATCATCCAGGTTTGTGAAGATGAGGGAATGGCCTTGATCCCTCTCCGTTTAGCTTGTGTGGGTGGTAGTGGATCATCTTCTTCATCATGATCAATCACACTAGTTTGTGAAGATGGAGGAATGGGCTTGATCGCTCTCCGTTTAGCTTGTGTGGGTGGTAGTGGATCATCTTCTTCATCATGATTAATCACACTAGTTTGTAAAGATGAGGGAATTGCATTGATCTCTCTCCGTTTAGCTTGTGTGGGTGGTAGTGGATCATAATCATCAATCATCCAGGTTTGTGAAGATGGAGGAATGGCCTTGATCCCTCTCCGTTTAGCTTGTGAGGGTGATTCCTCATCATCAATCAACCTGGTTTGTGAAGATGAGGAAATGGCCTTGATCGCTCTCGGTTTAGCTTGTGTGGGTGGAAGTGGATCATCCTCTTCACCATGATCAATCATCCAGGTTTGTGAAGATGAGGGAATGGCCTTGATCCCTCTCCGTTTAGCTTGTGTGGGTTGTAGTGGATTATCTTCTTCATCATGATCAATCATGCTAGTTTGTGAAGATGGAGGAATTGGTTTGACCTCTGTCGGTTTAGCTTGTGATGGTGGTAGTGGATCATCATCATCAATCATCCAGGTATGTGAAGATGGAGGAATGCGCTTGATCACTCTCCGTTTAGCTTGTGATGGTGGTAGTGGATCATCATCAATCATCCAGGTTTGTGAAGATGAGGGAATGGCCTTGATCTCTCTTCGTTTAGCTTGTGTGGGTGGTAGTGGATCATCTTCTTCATCATGATCAATCACACTAGTTTGTGAAGATGGAGGAATTGGTTTGACCTCTCTCCCTCTAGCTTGTGTGAGTGGTAGTGGATCATCTTCTTCATCATTATCAATCCACCAGGTTTGTGAAGATGAGGGAATGGCCTTGACCTCTCTCCGTTTAGCTTGTGTGGGTGGTGGTGGATCATCTTCTTCATCATGATCAACCACACTAGTTTGTGAAGATGGAGGAATTGGTTTGACCTCTGTCGGTTTAGCTTGTGATGGTGGTAGTGGATCATCATCATCAATCATCCAGGTTTGTGAAGATGGAGGAATGGGTTTGACCTCTGTCGGTTTAGCTTGTGAAGGTGGTAGTGGATCATTATCATCAATCATCCAGGTTTGTGAAGATGGAGGAATGGGTTTAACCTCTGTCGGTTTAGCTTGTGAAGGTGGTAGTGGATCATCATCATCAATCATCCAGGTTTGTGAAGATGGAGGAATGGGTTTGACCTCTGTCGGTTTAGCTTGTGAAGGTGGTATTGGATCATCATCATCAATCATCCAGGTTTTTGAAGATGGAGGAATGGGTTTGACCTCTGTCGGTTTAGCTTGTGAAGGTGGTAGTGATTCCTCATCATCCATCAACCTGGTTTGTGAAGATGGACGAATGGTCTTTATCTCTCTCCGATTAGATTGAGAGGGTGGTAGTAGATCATCCTCTTCATCATCATCAGCAATCATTCTGGTTTGGGAAGATGGAGGAATTGGTTTGACCTCTGTCGGTTTAACTTGTGAGGATGGTAGTGGATCATCATCATAAGTCATCCTGGTTTGTGACGATGGAGGAATGGGCTCTTGTGAGGGTGGTAGTGGATCATCATCAATCACACTAGTTTGTGATGATGGGGAAATGGGCTTGATCTCTGTCACTTTAGTTTGTGATGATGGTAGTGGATCATCATCATCAATCATCCTGGTTTGTGAAGATGGAGGAATGGGCTTGATCTCTCTCTCTTCAGCTTGTGGGGGTGGTAGTGAATCATCATCATCATCTGTTGCAAATAATTTATTGTAAGGCTTGCATTCAATTTTCTGAACCAATTCATCTAGATAGTCTTGGCTGTTGAAATCCTTTATTTCGATTAAACTAACATCACTGGTGAATTTTACTAACAGATGTCTTAGTCTGTTAGTTTTCTTCAGTTTTTCTGAAAATAAACAGAATTTACCACTAAGTAAGTGGAGAGGTAGAAACTCCAGCTCTACTTTGTATCACTAAAATGCTGCTATTTCCTATGAAATTTTGACTTGTAATATACATGTCATGTCAATTTTGAAATACCTTTGCAAATTTGAACTCCCTATAGGCTACCGTTACTGTGACATAGTGACTATCAACTACCGGTAATTTATTTGTATGTCCCATCCCAGATAATTATCTTTCATCCAAATGAAATATGGTAACACTAACAAGAGGAACAAGACAGATCATCCGTAAAAAAATTTTTTTTTTTTTTTTTTAAATTTGAGACCAGGATTATCATTAAAAAATCTCACATGATTATACATGTACAAGAAGTCAAGAAATTGATCAAGAATATTTTTCTAAATTAACTATTGTGTCTCATTTAAAGAGAAAAACGCCTCAATTAGTTTATTGCAACTGATTTGTCTGTCTTGTTCCTTTTTAAATATTGAAAGACATGCCAAATACTTTTTGGCATATTGAAAAGGTAAACAGAACAAACCAAAACAAATATAAAATAAAGAAAACAAGCCAACAGTGAGGCAGATGTCCCCCGCCGAAATCCCAAAATAAATAGATGACACATTAATTAATTGCACATTGATCTTTTTATAAAGCATCGAGTAACCAAACTGCTTATCTATACTTTGTCTAAGCATAAAATGCTCATGATTGAACTTATTCAAGGTTTTGATGTAGTGAAACTATACACCAAGTTTCATCACTCTCCCTCAATTAGAATCAAAGTTATCGTGTCCCAAAGCATCGACCAATAATATTGCTTAGCTCTGTTTAGTGGAAAATGTTAATCAGTGAACTCATTCAAGACATTCACTAAATAAACATCTACACAAAATTTGAACATTCTACCTCAATTAAAAGCAGAGTTGTTATGTTCCAAAGTCTTGAACCAGTCAAATTGCTTATCATTACTTAGCCTCAGCAGAAAATTTGCATCGAACATAGTCAAGGTATTGATGTAATGAAACTATACACAAAGTTTCACCTCTCTCACTCAATTAGAATCAAAGTTATCGAGCTTCAAAGTCTTGAAAAATCAAATTGCTTATCTTTGCTTACCCTTAGTGGAAAATGCTCTTCACTGAACTCTGTCAAGGCATTCACCTAATAAACACCTACACGAAGTTTCAACATTCTACCACAATTAGAAGTGGAGTTATTGTGTTCCAAAGTCTCGACCACGCAGATTGAAGTCTCTACTGAGCCTAAGCAGAAACTGCTCACCATCGAACTTAGTCAAGGTATTGATGTTATGAATCTACATGTATATACCAAGTTTCACCTCTCTCTATCAATTAGGATGAAAGTTATCGAGCTCCAAAGTCTGGATCAAATTGCTTATCACTCTGCTTACCCCAAGCAGAAAATGCTCATTATCGAACTTAGTAAAGGTATTGATCTTATGAAACTATACACCAAGTTTCATTACTCTCACTTAATTGGAATCAAAGTTATCGTGTCCCAAAGCCTCAACCAATCAAATTGCTTATCTCTGCTTACCCTAAGCAGAAAATGCTCATCACCGAATTTTGTCAAGGCATGCACCTAATAAACACCTACACGAAGTTTGAACATTCTACCACAATTAGAAGGGGAGTTATTGTGTTCCAAAGTCTCAACCAATCAGATTGAAGTCTCTACTTACCCAAGCAGAAAATGCTCATCACCAAACTCAGTCAAGGCATGCACCTAATGAACACCTACACTCAATTAGTTATTGTGTCCCAAAAAGTGTGACGGACAGACAGACTGACGGACAGACCCATTTCTTCAAAAGGTGGGGGACAATTAAATCAAATTGGGGGATTCAATTATAATTTGAAATTAAAACGCAGGTTCTCAACATCAAACAGGCAAAAGATTCGGTGAATGCAAATGCATTCAGAACAGACGTTTTTTTTTAATTAATAATACCTTCACCCTTTCTGATATATTCTGAAAATTCTCTCTCAGAAAGATCATTAATTCTTTTTATCTTCGAGGCACTTGTAACATGAATACTGTGAAAAATTATATGTGATATATATGTAGAGCAGAATGAAACCAGCGGCTGCCAGGCAGGATACGCCCACATTTTCGAGAGATGGATAGAGAACAAGCTAACAAGAAAGTGATTTTTCCTACTATCAAGGGCCATAATTCAGGAAATTACAATTCAATATGCGCGAATATCGAAAGGAAATGAGATCTTTGTGTTATAAACTTACATTTCAAGTTTCAACAAAATCAGATAAAAATTGCGACCTCTATAGGGTCCACAACCTTGATATACCATATTTTTACGCTATTTGAGAACGAACGGTGGCCATTTTGTCTGTCAATTTTGGGTTGATTTTCACGAAATTCGAATTCAGTCGTCCTTAGGGTGCAACAGTGATATAATAGTACAGTTTTTTAAATTGGATACAAATTATGACCTCTATAGGGTCCACAAGCTAAAAACGCGATTTTTCGTACAATCAGGGGCTATAATTCAGGAAGTTACGGTCCGATATGCGCGAATATCAATAGGAAATGAGATCTTTGGGTCATAAACTTACATTTCAAGTTTCAACAAAATCGGATAAAAAATTGTGACGTCTATAGGGTCCACGACCTTGATATACCATATTTTTACGCTATTTGAGAAAGAACGGCGGCCATTTTGTCCGACAAAATTGGGCCAATTTTCACAAAATCCGAACTCCGCCATCCTTAGGGGGTAACGGTGATATAATAATACGATTTTTTAAATCAGATAAAAATTATGACCTCTCTATAGGGTCCACAAGCTAAAAACGCGATTTTTCGTACAATCAGGGCCATATTTCAGGAAGTTACGGTCTGATATGTGGAATATTGAAAGGAACCGAGATCTTTGGGTTGTAAACTTACATTTCAAGTTTCAACAAAATCGGATAAAAATTGTGACCTCTATAGGATCCACAACCTTGATATACCATATTTTTACGCTATTTGGGAACGAACGGCGGCCATTTTGTCTGTCAATTTTGGGCTGATTTTCACAGAATTCAAATTCAGCCGTCTTTAGGGTGTAACAGTGATATAATAATATTTTTTTTAAATCGGATAAAAATTATGACCTCTAGAGGGTTCACAAGCTAAAAACGCGATTTTTCGTAAAATCAGGGGCCATAATTCGGGAAGTTACGGTCCGATATATGGGAATATCGAAAGGAACCAAGATCTTTGGGTATAAACTTACATTTCGAGTTTCAACAAAACCGGATAAAAATTGTGACCTCTATGGGGTCCACAACCTTGATATACCATATTTTTACGCTATTTGAGTACGGACGGCGGCCATTTTGTCTGTCAATTTTGAGCCGATTGTCACGAAATTCGACCTCATCTGTCCTTAGGATGTAACGGTGATATAATAATATTTTATTTAAATCGGATAAAAATTATGACCTCTATAGGGTCCACAACCTAAAAAGCGATTTTTCGTACAATCAGGGGCCATTATTCAGGAAGTTATGCGCGAATATCGAAAGGAACCGAAATCTTTGGGTTATAAACTTACATTTCAAGTTTCAACAAAATCAGATAAATATTGTGACCTATAGGGTCCACAACCTTGATATACCATATTTTTACGCTATTTGGGAACGAGCGGCGGCCATTTTGTCTGTCAATTTTGGGCCGATTTTCACGAAATTTGAACTCAGTCGTCCTTAGGGTGTAACGGTGATATAATAATACGTTTTTTTAAATCAGATAAAAATTATGACTTCTATAGGGTCCACAAGCTAAAAACGCGATTTTTCGTACAATCAGGGGCCATTATTCAGGAAGTTATGGTCCGATATGCGCGAATATTGAAAGGAACCAAAATCTTTGGGTTATAAACTTACATTTTAAGTTTCAACAAAATCGGATAAATATTGTGACCTATAGGGTCCACAACCTTGATATACCATATTTTTACGCTATTTGGGAACGAGCGGCGGCCATTTTGTCTGTCAATTTTGGGCCGATTTTCACGAAATTTGAACTCAGTCGTCCTTAGGGTGTAACGGTGATATAATAATACGTTTTTTTAAATCAGATAAAAATTATGACTTCTATAGGGTCCACAAGCTAAAAACGCGATTTTTCGTACAATCAGGGGCCATTATTCAGGAAGTTATGGTCCGATATGCGCGAATATTGAAAGGAACCAAAATCTTTGGGTTATAAACTTACATTTTAAGTTTCAACAAAATCGGATAAAAATTGTGACCTCTATAGGGTCCACAACCTTGATATACCATATTCTTACGCTATTTGAGAACGAACGGCGGCCATTCTGTCTGCCAATTTTGAGTCGATTTTCACGAAATTCGAACTCAGTCATCCTTAGGGTGTAACGGTGATATAATAATGTGGGTTTTTAAATCGGATAAAAATTATGACTTCTATAGGGTCAACAAGCTAAAAACGTGATTTTTCGTACAATCAGGAGCCATTATTCAGGAAGTTATGGTACGCTATGCGCGAATATCGACAGGAACCGAAATCTTTGGGTTATAAACTTACATTTCAAGTTTCAACAAAATCGGATAAAAATTGTGACCTCTATAGGGTCCACAACCTTGATATACCATATTTTTACGCTTTTTGGGAACAAACGGCGGCCATTTTGTCAGTCAATTTTGGGTCGATTTTCCCGAAATTCGAACTCAGTCGTCCTTAGGGTGTAATGGTGATATAATAATACAGGTTTTTAAATCGGATAAAAATTATGACTTCTATAGGGTCCACAAGCTAAAAACGTGATTTTTCGTCCATTCAGGGGCCATAATTCAGGAAGTTATGGTCCGATATGTGCGAATATCAAAAGGAACCAAGATCTTTGGGTTATAAACTTACATTTCAAGTTTCAACAAAATCGGATAAAAATTGTGACCTCTATAGGGTCCACAAGCTAAAAACGTGATTCTTCGTACAAACAGGGGCCATAATCCATGAAGTATCGAACAGATACATGGCAATATCGAAAGCAGCTGAGATCTTTTGGAGATAAACCTATATTTCAAGTTTAGTCAAAATCGGATAAGAATTATGAGCTCAAGAGTGTCCTTAAACAAATTGTGAACGGACGTCCAGACGTCCGGACGGACAGGGGCGACGGCATAATACGTCCGCATGAAAATGTGGGCGTATAAAAAGCAAAATTTAAACAGGCCTAACATAAGTCAGAGTCAGAACCATTACTTATTATTATGATTCACAGTGGCTTCATTTTCCTGGGGGATCGTGGTGGCTAAGTGGGTGAGGTGCTGGCTCGCTAGCCTGGAGGTCGAGTGTTCGATCCCTGCATTGGCCGAGAAAGGTCATTCAGATTTTCCGACATGGTTTCCCCTTGTCAGTGATGCAGGACGGAGGGCCTGACAAGGACAGCTGTCTAGTCATTCGGATGAGACGGAAAACCGAGGTCCCGTGTACACATTGGCGTGCACGTAAAAGATCCCTTGACAGTTGGAATTCAATATAAGAGTAGGCCGTAGTGCTGCTGTCCGGGCAAAATTTCCCTCATAGCACACTGTATGGTGTATGCCCGTCTTCATTAGCCCAGTTCGGAGCAAAACAGTAGGACGTTAAACCCCATTTCATTTCATTTTTCCTGATTTTCTAACTCAAAAATGGGCTGACCAAAATAAGCATTTACTGTGCACAATCTTGAAGTATTGTACGACGTCCTTAGATAATATCTACTTAAAAATCAAAAAATGCTAATGACCGCAGATAATATATGGTAGACACACGTTATAGCTATAACTTGTACAAAAATCGCAACATTTGGAATAATGCTCATATCTTTCTCAATTTTATTCCAAATGTCACGATTTTTGTACATGTTATAGCTATTACGTGTGTCTACCATATATTATTTGCAGTCAGTAACATTTTTTGCTTTTTTAAAGATGCATTATGTAAGATTTAGATAAAGAGTTGGTCGTTCTCGCTATAATAGTTTAAAAATAGATACATGTAATACAAAATGAATATATTTCAGTCAAATTACTTTATTCTGAGCGAAGATATGAATGTTTGAAGTTTTGACAAGACCGATTCCTATGTCATTAGCCTTGTTTCAGTCCAACAATCAATAGGACCGCAGGGCAAAAGAAGCCACTAATCCCACATATCTAAGGGTTTGCCTGTGCCATCATACAATGGAAAGGTGACAGGTGTGCCTGCAAAGTGATGACAGACATACATGAGTGACGGGTTCACAGCAATTTTAAGGCTCAGGCAAAATTCACCAGTGAATTAATAGACCTACTCCAGAATGACGTCACAATGGGTTTTTCCAAATGGAAATTCATGTGACGGGGTACAATCAGTAACGTTCACCAATGTTATTAAACATGTACTACGGCCACTTTCAAGTTTAGACTAACGTAAATTAATAACTATGCCGACGATGTAGGCTAGACACTGGGTAAAACAATGCGGGTGTCACCATAATGACCTTTCTGTAATTTCGATAAAACGGCACCATTATGTTTGTTCAGATGTAAATAGACTATTTTTAAAGCATCAGCACTTTTGTTATTAAATCGCAAAAATTTAGTAAAATTCACAGGTCCAATTTTTTGCCTACAATAAACATAACTGAAGCAGGATCATTATTTGCACCTTTTATTTTTTTAGGGTGGTGTATGATTTTCTGGATGCTGCACATAACTGTTGTGTTTTATGTTTATTGTGTAATTCCTATTGGAATAAGTTGGCTATGCCCCCGTGGGATCAGATACTATATTTATTTCTGTTTTTTAATCGTTTTTCAATTACGACTAATTCTGGATATTTTTATTTGTTTAAATGTGCGAGACAAAAATGCTGATGCTTTAAAAATAGTCTAACTTTGAACAAACAGAATGGTGTCGTTGTATCAAAATTACAGAAAGGTCATTATGAGGACGCCCGCGTTGTGTTAACCGGTGTCTACATCGTTCAATGTTAATTGACGACTTCAGAAACGGAAGGAAAGTAACACCGATCTCACATAATCTTTACGTTTATATCTGCTATCACTGTTGCAAGTTTCGCAAGAATATCGTTTAGTCAGCTTAGTTACTAATTTACGTTAGGCTAAACTTGAAAGTGGCCGTATTATAATAACAACCCATTTGACGTCATTCCGGATTACGTCTATTGCAATATATCTAGGCCTAGCATCAAACTTTTTCATACTTACATTTCTTCCTCATCAAAAAATGACACAGTATGAGTAATAGATTTCTCTTTCTCTGATTCAGATACCCAGCCAGGCCACCATATCCCATCACAATTTACTAATACTTTATCATTCACATGAAACTTATCCATCACTAGTCTGGTTAGTTGCCTTGGCTTCAAATGGTTCAGTTTTCTGGTTGATCTGAGCTGATCTGCATAAAAACTCTGAGCAAAATAATCATAAGGTACACACAGTGAATATATGTTGAGACATAAGCAAAAAGATTCGCATAATCATCATCCAACAATAGAATGCACAAGTCACAAATGACGGAAATGACACTTTGTAAAGAAAACAAAATTAACATGTAAGGTTTCATTGTACTGATCATCCAAATATAGGCTCTAAATTAGCCTAGACAAAATGCTAATGACTGACTAGATTGACACGCGAGATGGAGGAATGGCAAACTGTTCTATCCACGGAACCATCATGACCATGACACAAAGTCCAATGTGGAAAAATCGGACTCAAGAGGACTTCAATGCTCATAAGCTGAATCGGAAATGACTATATCAATAGCTAAAATATGATAAAAGACATCTTGTAGGAATAAAACAGTAATAATTTTCTTACATGTACTCAGAAAAATGTCTGTGTGAGTTCTTCTCAAATGACAGTGAGAAATTCAGGTGAGGATATGAACGTAAATGAAAACCGGGTGTGTGAGCAATTCGGGTAGTCCTGCACATCCAGATATATATTTCCCTTACAGGGCCAATGTACAGAATGTCTTGATATTCTAGACAAAATGATTGGATAAGGGAAGTTACTCCAAATAAAACTTGGCTAGCATGGGAATGTGTGTAAAATGTTAAGTGCATGTGCACATATATATGTTATGAGTGCAGCCTCGTGAGGATAAATCTATGACCACCAAAAACATTCTCCTAAGGGGTTGTTAGGCATTATGATCAGGTCTTCACTATGAGGAAATCCTCTCTCAGAATTTTTTACTCTTAGGGGTCTGTTCAGCACACACTTTTTCTCACATGGGATGGCTCGTCAGCCCACACCCACACGCACACCCACACCCACACACACACACTGGACCATGTATGCTGGAATTGAGCAGCCAGTCTCGGGATAGCAGTGGCGACTCCCAAACCTTTGAGAGACTGCCCTGGTACTAATGTTCTCTCGAATTAACACAATGGTCCAACTAAATAAAATTATTTATTAGAACATTATCGTTGCAAAATTTTTAAGATACATGGTGGATAATGTATTTATTGTATGGAATTGTGTGCTATTTATTATATTTTATTGTGTGGTATTTATTGCATTTAATTGTGTGCTATTTATTGTATTTAATTGTGTTCTATTAGTTGTATTTACTCATTTTGTAGAGTGTGATGGTACACACTGGGGAGTTAACTGTCAAGAAACATGTCAATGTGTAGCTGGTCATGTATTATCATGTAATAAGACTGACGGTACCTGTAACTGTAATAATCAATGGACTGGTAGTACGTGTCAAACTGATGTTAATGAATGTAACAACCAAACTATCTGTGGTTCACAAAATTTCAAATGTGTTAACTTTGATGGCGGATATAGGTGTGATTGTCAAGATGGCTATACAAAGGACGCCGCTGGTATTTGTCAAGGTAATTAAGATGGAATAATTTAAGAAAAGAGATATTAATGATTAAATCAGTTTTAAACATAAATCATTTTTCTCAATAATTCACACACTTAATGACTGTATGCAGTATAACGTATATTGTTTGATTTTATGTTAAAAATATACATGTATCCTTATTTCCAAGGAAGTGTGGAGGGGGCGGTGCTACCCAAGTCTTAGAATAATAAGATTTCCAATCCGCACCTGATTTGCCTGTGCTTCTATTTCGACTGGCTCGCTTGCCCAATAGGAAGTCCCTTTTCCCGCCCCACTCCCCAACGCCCCCACCCCCACCTTCCCGGCGCCTTCGATTTCACGGACCGCCAAAATAGTTTCAAGGACTCCATCCAAAATATGTTTTAAAACTATTTACAGATAAAAACGAGTGTGTAGATATACCATGTCCATTACATGAAGTATGTACGAACACCATTGGTAACTATACATGTGCCTGTCCACAAGGATTTTCAGACGTATCCGGAGTTTGTACTGGTAAATTAAGTTTTCAACAATATTTGTTTTTTTATATTGACATAGCACTAAAGAATTTTAAAATATGCCATCTGTGTTTATTCCTTGTCCATATTCTTTATTAGATGGTTGTTGTTTTTGTATTTAAACAACTAGGTTGTTGAAAATATTGTACCGAGATTACCGTCGGTCCAGTAGCTTCGACTTCTGAAATCAAAGTAGCAACAGGTATCGTGCCCGGTATAGTTTGTTACTGTCTACATATCCCACTACTTATTTATTTGGGAAAAAATTAATTTCACAACATATTTGTGATACCATACCTTTGTGGTGATCGAAGATGGCATTTGAGTGGATATGTACATCTAACAAGACGTGTGTATTATTATATAAACAACAAATCAAAAACTGTTAAAATTGATGAACAACATATATATATATATATATATATATATATATATATATATATATATATATATATATTGTTCATCAATATATACATGAAAGGATGATGAAATTACACCGTGGTTTTAAACAAAGTTGTAATGGCGTAATTTTACATTTAAATTATATTGTAGATATCAATGAGTGTAAAACAGATAATGGAGGATGTCAGCAGAATTGTGTCAATAAGAATGGGACATTTATATGTGAATGTAGAAGTGGTTACACTTTAAACAACAATTCAATTACTTGTACCGGTAAGTTATACACCAGTCACTTGTACAGGTAAGTTTTGCATAGGTCACTTGTACTGGCAGGCTTTACACCAGTCACTTGTATCGGTCATTTTGTCATCGCTCACTTGTACCGGTAGATTTTACATTAGTCACTTTTTGGTCATTTTTACATGAGTCATACGGAAGATAAAACATATATTATTTTAACGTCTGCTGAGATTGGAGTTTGAAGAAAAGAAGGGTTGAACCCCCTATGTATATTAGCGAGGTATTAATCTCGATTCCACTCCAAATCTGCCAACGAAACCCAACCAAAATGTTCAGTAAGAGTATGTCGATCAGTCAGCCAACTGGACCGTCGCTACCTCTGGCAAGTAAAAGCCGGCTCAAATTCCGAGCTAGACCGGGAGTAATTGAGGGAATTGTCAAGACCAGTTTTCACATGTCAGTGGTGGTACCTGCTAGAAAGAAAGTGTGTCTAGTCTTTCGGGTGGGACGAAAAATTGAGCTCGAGAAGAATAGAGGGAATCGCAGCTGTCCAAGCAACATTCTCCGAGACGACCTTGTGCCTGGTACGTTCGGGCATTTTTATGCGCGAACTCTTAGGTTTTTTTTACTGGCATGCGCACAGGTACTATTTCTTTTTCTTTTAACAAGTACCCAAATCGGGGATTTCGTGCGGAGGTAGTTCGGAGGTAAACAGTCTGTGAAGTACAACACTTGCCACTGTACCTGTGTATCGCTAATTATAAACCGAATGTGTGAAGACAGTTCATACATATCACTCAAAAATTTTTCAGTACAAACTCAGTTGATTCACGCTCGATTTGCTACTAAACAAACCCATCGGTTTATTTTCTCAACAGTGTGACCCGAAGTGACCGCGGATTTATTGACCTTGTATGAACTTATCCATAGCTATATCCTTACACCGAGAGAAATTATCTAGTCTCGGTGAAAAGAACCATGGTCATCTGGTAGGAAATTACTTTTGTATTTTTTGGAACGGAAAACAGTGTTTTTAGAAGCAAACTAACCTGCCGCACATGAGGGAGTCATTATACTAATAATAAAAGGCGAGACCTCTTTTTGCGGCGCAGGCTTATCACTGAGTAGTAAACCGTCCACAAACAATAATATAGGAAGCCTAGTGACGAGTGTAGTAAGTAGGCTATAGACTATAGGTTTGAGTCGAGATTACTCGCTTTCAGTTTACTCTGTTTTTGCGATAACCAATTATGTTTGAAATACCATACTGACATTCGGTTTTTAAAAGTTGTACGCGAACTAAATGCGTTTGTTAGATACTGACAGAGCAGCCCCGAGTCGAACAATCGCTGCCCGAGCTGTCTTCGTCAGCTAGTTTCACAATATCGTGCAATAGGTGTATTAATGTGATTTTTAGGTTTAACCCCGCAAACAATGCCAAAATAGTGTTTTCACTGCTTACAGAAAACTGAAATTTAAAAAAAAAAAATTTTATGAGGGTGACCCTCCCACACATTCCCTATCGAGCTGCCGCTCGGTCTGCGCAGCCTCATGCCTGGCACATACTGTCAACATTGTATATTTTTCCGTTTCCGCCCTTCCCCCCACAATATATATTTCACGGCTACGTTGCGACGGTACCAGCATACCCAGTTGTTGACACCCATTACATCACTCCTGTCTAACAAATCATAAAGCTGTGGTGTTACGGTGGCGGCATAGTATTTCACCGTAACACCACAGCCACTCTAACCATTCATTATACATCTAACTATCCCTTTACAGCACTTCACTCCCTACACATTTCCCCTCGTCCTACTTTCCCAAACGTCAACAACACATCTCATACATCCAGTTCGCTGATTAACCCTAGTTTGTACCACGTCTACTGGATTGTACACTTAACTATAGTAATAAATATTACAATATATCTATCTCAAAATAACAGACTTTGTCAGTGCAAGTTGACTGTGAATTTCAAATATGACGGCGTAAGTATTAATATTGAAACAATCTGATCTTCTTATAGATATTGATGAATGCACAAATGCAGATACTATTTGCCCCAAAACTCTAGAAGTGTGTCGTAACATACCTGGTTCATATACTTGTGTATGTCAAGACGGTTACTCGCTTGTGAGCGCATTCTGTGTTGGTAAGTAAATTACAGATCACAGTAATAAATACTTATATATTAACATTGTATAACTGAAACACCAATGGTCACTTATAAATATATTTTATAGTTTAAAGATACCTCCCCACGTACAAACTGTGTGAGTTGATATATATTTGGACTAAAAACATATTCAAACTAATTGATCTATCAAATATTTGCTTCAAATTTCTCTCAAAATTTTGTATTCACAAGGAGATACCCAAGCTACAAAAAATCCATGTTTAGAAGCCATGTTTGTCACAGAAGTTGATTGAGCCAGGGCCCAATTTTCAGAACGATTTGTCATTACATACCGTCCATTTACAATGCTTACTGAGAGGCAAAGTAAATTCTTAAATTATTTTCTGCCAACTTCATTTTCTCCGTTTAATTGAGTAGTCTGTTTTACTTTTACACCCCTCAATGTTCCCCAAACCGCCTACCATTCCATCAAAACCGCTCCCAATACCAACCGCTGCTAGCCTTGTTCACTTAATGCACTTGTGAGTAATAGTTACCCAATACCAACCGCTGCTAGCCTTGTTCGTTATTTGCGGTATTTGGGGTGGGGGGTTAGGGTCACTTGGGTACTTGGGTGCGCGTTGTATCGTAAGTTGTCATTGACTCAAATGACAAGGGTTAGGGTTGCCTCTCCAACTTTGTGGGTTTTCAACAGATCCCTCGGTTTCCTCCCATTGCTAAAGACCCCTACGCGCAAGCAAATTATTGAAATAAAATTGATTGGACCATATGTTAGTCTCTCTCTCTCTCTCTCTCTCTCTCTCTCTCTATTGGAGGTATTTATTGATTAATGTAATAACACTAATTAAATTATGTTTTAAGATACTAATGAATGTAATACAAATAATGGAGGATGTAATCAAGTATGTAATAATACAGAAGGATCTTACAGTTGTTCATGTAATACTGGTTTTACACTCAACAATGACAATAAAACATGTTCTGGTAAGATTCAGTTTTATTTTTCATTTCTTAATCTATTTTGTTTTGAAAACCTAAATATTTTCTCCGCTTCTTGGTTTAAACTGCTGAATATGGAAA